TTCAGTAGGCAGGGCTACCCGTTACCCATGCAAATGCATTTACTGCTTTTGCCACTTACATCTAACTATTAAAGAGTCTTCTTAGATGTGTGTTTAAGTTAAGTTTGAGTTAGGATTGCGGCCTGGACAAAGTTTTGCCAAGCCGCTAGTAAATCATAAGATTAGTTCTTGAACAATACAGCATTAAGCGCCTTAACGATAAATGTGCCAAGAATTCAAACTGGCAGCACTTAATTGTCATTGTTTATTATAGCCTCTAGGGTATGAGAGGCAATTGTACAATACTTAAGCGATATTTGTTAAAAATTCTATCTGTGATATATGCTTGCTGTTGTATATATATATAAAATAAATATAAATATATATGTATATATATTCTGTTTAATTTCTGCTATGACATAGATTCAAAACAAAATATAAATCTGTAAACAAAACTGTTTGTCCTGACTGACTGCCAGACTGTCTGATTGGTGATCAACGCACAGAATTATTCTTCATCAAAATGCATGTAAAAACGGTTCCCTCAAATATTCTATATAGACATAGCTCGAAATTTCCCACCACATAACTCGCTCAAATCTCATCTGATTTTCATAAAGCTTAGCTTTTTGTGCATAGTTTGGCCTCTAGATTAATTGTGCATCAAAATCTGGCAACATTATTTTTGGTCGAAATTCATGTACGGATGGTTCCCTCAAATAGCTTATATAGACATGGGTCGAAATTTCCCACTCCATAACTCGGTCAAATCTCATCTGATTTTTATAAAGTTTGGCTTTTTGTTCATGGTTTGGCCTCTAGATTAATTGTGCAACAAAATCTGGCTACATTATTATTGGTCGAAATGCATGTGAAAATGGTACCCTCAAATAAATTATATAGACATAGCTCGAAATTTCCCACTCCATAACTCGGTCAAATCTCATCTGATTTTTATAAAGTTTGGCTTTTTGTTCATGGTTTGGCCTCTAGATTAATTGTGCATCAAAATCTGCCAACATTATTTTTGGTCGAAATTCATGTACAGATGGTTCCCTCAAATAGCTTATGTAGACATAGGTCGAAATTTCCCACCCCATAACTCGGTCAAATCTCATCTGATTTTCATAAAGTTTGGCTTTTTGTTCATGGTTTGGCCTCTAGATTAATTGTGCATCAAAATCTGCCAACATTATTTTTGGTCGAAATTCATGTACAGATGGTTCCCTCAAATATCTTATATAGACATAGGTCAAAATTTCCCACCCCATAACTCGGGCAAATCTCATCTGATTTTCATAAAGTTTGACTTTTTGTTCATGGTTCGTCCTCTAGATTTATTGTGCATCAAAATCTGGCAACATTATTTTTGGTCGAAATTCATGTGAAAATGGTTCCCTCAAATAGCTTTTATAGACATAGGTCGAAATTTCCCACCCCATAACTCGGTCAAATCTCATGTGATTTTCATAAAGTTTGGCTTTTTGTTCATGGTTCGTCCTCTAGATTTATTGTGCATCAAAATCTGGCAACATTATTTTTGGTAAAAATTCATGTAAAAATGGTTCCCTCAAATATCTTATAGAGACATATGTCAAAATTTCCCAACCCATAACTTGGTCAAATCTCATCTGATTTTCATAAAGTTTGGCTTTTTGTTCATGGTTTGGCCTCTAGATTAATTGTGCATCAAAATCTGGAAACATTATTTTTGGTCGAATTTCATGTACAGATGGTTCTCTCAAATAGCTTATATAGACATAGGTCGAAATTTCCCACCTCATAGCTCGGTGAAATCTCATCCGATTTTCACGAGGTTTGGCTCCTTGTTCATGGTTCGGCATCAATTTTAATTGTGCATCAAAATCTGGCAACATTATTTTTGGTCGAAATTCATGTACAAATGGTTCCCTCAAATATCCTATATAGACATAGGTCGAAATTTCTCACCTCATAACTCGGTCAAATCTCATCTGATTTTCATAAAGTTTGGCTCTTTGTCCATGGTTTGGCCTCTTAATCTATTTGCATCAAAATCTGACAACATTTTTTTTGTTCGAAATTCATGTAAAAATAAAGACCAAAGAACCTTTGACACCGAATAAGCTTCGATTCTGCGAAAAGTGTAAAACAGTCAAATGATTTTTCATACAGCTCTTTGCAAGTGAGTTTGAACAGGAAACTTGCACCAGATCCTTATACACCAAGATCATCAAGGACGAAAGGATATTCTGAAAAGTGGGAAACAACCCTCGAATGAATTTGAACAAAGATCTTTGAAAATGAATTTGATTCCGATCGGATGGTAGAGAAAATGTTCATACATGCGTTTTTCGTGGATTTTCCACACATGCGGGTGGAATATATCCAAACTCCGTCTTTGCTTGCATCTCTGTCACATATTTCAGCTTCCTAGCTCTTACGGTTCGAGCTGTGGGCTGATCACCAATCAGCCAGTCAGTCAGGACAAACCGTTTTATATATAGAGATAAAATTGGTATCCAATGAATAACCCGAAATATAATCTAGCTTGTAGTCAAAAGTTAATTGGTAGAATGGGAAGTTTTCAATTGTTTTCGCTTATGGCCTCGAACCCATGTGATCTGTAATCAATGGAATTTTGAACAGCCATTATCGATTATCGCTTATGGCAAACTTTTATTAGACACTTTACTGAATTACACATTTTACGAGATATTGTGGGCTGGCGGGTATAGGAGGAAGGCAGCTGGTATACATTAAAAGCTGTTAAAAGAAAGGCAGGAATGCGGCAAATGGGAAGCGTAAAAGCCCAGGACAGGTGTTGATAACAATGGCGCCCCATCAAAGTGATTGACTGCGACACGCGCCCACCAAACAATTGTGGGAGTGAGCCGAGGCTGTGCTCCATGTGGCCCCCAAGCAGAGTGCTCGCTCTTGCTCTCTATATTGCCAATTAGGCGGGGCATGCAATTTGAACAATTTGAGCAATTTTCAGCACGTTGGATGCCCGATCGGGTACTGATTGACATATTGTGCCAGTTAGTTATTGCCGCCAGACGCATCAAATGACGATTGTTGCCATGGCAGGGCAGGGCAAACCAATTCCTGAAGCCTCACCTACTCGATGGCATATTGCTAATTTGATTGCGCTTGCCACAGAGGCGTGCGTAATGGGAACAAAGCGCTGACAATTTTCAATATCAAATTGAAATACAAAACTTCAGGCGAGGCAGGCGGTACAGCTTGCGTTTCTCACATGCGACGAGCTAGCTGCCAGCTCTGCCAGTTTACAGTCCACATACTCGAGAAGCACATGTACATAAATATACATATAAAATAATACATATACATATTGAGTAAATTTATACAAAGAAGTCCACTCTGGTGCTCGACTCCGCTCATGATGTACGCCAATTTGTTGCGCCTGTATCAGCTGCCACGCCTTGTGCTGCACGCACAGCCCAGCCGTGTCATATGCGCCACACCGCCGCGCTACAAGATAGACGCATGCAACGTGTACGACAAGCTGAAGTTCGAGTTCTCTGAGGAGAACAAGTGCCGCGCCAAGGAATTGTTGGGCGCTTATCCGGAGAAGGAGCTGCGCGGTGCTCTGTTGCCCTTGCTGGACTTGGCTCAGCGCCAGCATGGCTGGCTGCCGATCACGGCCATACAGGCTGTGGCCGAAATGCTAAAGATCGAGCCCTTTGCCGTCTGGGAGGTTGCCAACTTCTATACCATGTTCAATTTGCGTCCCATTGGCAAGTACCGTGTGAAGGTGTGCATGACGACACCCTGTCAACTGCGCGGCTGTGCGGACGTTATGCGTGTCTGCGAGAAAACGTTGGAATTAAAGGATGGCGAGACCTCAAAGGATATGGAGTTTACACTGAATGCTACCTACTGCATGGGCGCCTGCGTCAATGGCCCCGTTATATCCGTCAACGATGATCTCTACGAGGATCTCAATGTGGACGAAACGGAGAAGATCTTGTGCGAACTAAAAGATGGTAATATCCCGCCACCTGGACCGCGCAGCGGCCGTTTTGCCAGTGAGCCGATCACGGGGCCCACCTCGTTGCTGATGCCAGCACCGCACGCGGGCTTTGGCATGCAGGAGCTGTGCAAGCCCAAGACAAAGCCTTGTTAGCGCAGCGCGGCAAGTGAATCACATTTTGTTTACTAGTTGTTAAGGCATTAAATTGGCATAGTTTGTGGCCAAGGAGCAAATGTAAAGAGCGACTTTTCATACCCAGCGAGAAAGTGAAGAAGGGGTATGTAGGCTCCTTTGACCCTAACCACGTCTGTCTGCTCGGCCAACCGTCCATTTGCCTGTATGTATGTATATAGGCTAGAAGAAGCTAGAATGTTTGTGGCAGTTCTGCGCTGGGTTTGGGATATATCCTAGTCGAGCACTCCCAACTAGAGCAGTCTTATTCTTTTTTTTTCTTATATCTCCTGCTGTCAACAGCTGTTGTTGTTTAGCTAGTCTCGACCTTATTGCATTGCATTGCTCTGTTTATCCCCTGGAACAGGACATGCTTTGCAATTTCGCAACGCTCGCAAAAATAAACAACAAACAGCAATGGCAGCCATGGCGAATCAAGCGCGAAACAACGCCCAAGTCCAAGTTAAAGCCCGGCCCTGGCCCAGTGCCTTTTGCCTGCCTGCCAGCCAGTTCGCCCGCTAGCCCGACCGCCCGCCAGTTTGCCATGTCCTGTCAGCCAATGCAGCAAGTAATCAGCTTTTGTCTTGTCTCTCTGACTGCCCGGCTGCCTGCTCCCACTTGGCGTTGCACGCTGTGGTTTGACCTCGGCCAAACCCCGTCGGCGCTCTAATGAAATGTTGCCAGCCATCAACATGTAGCACTGGCAACAAAACAACAACAACAGCAATAGCAGCAACAAACTAAAACTACGAAAGCGATAGCAACAGCGTCGATATTGTTTTAGCCAAAATAGTTTTAATTGCAGCACGCCCCCTAAAGCGGCTAACAACTTTTGTTATACCCAGTGCTGCACTGCACTAAACGGGTTACTTAATTTGCATACTGCTGCATTTATATTTAAGAACTTACAATTTAGGAACAGAAAAAATATTCAAATTTGGCAACACTGCGAAACATCTGCGAAAGAGAGAGCTTAGCAAAGCACAGTTGGAAATTGTGACGTCACACGCGCTTGAAACGCGCTCTTCAGCTCCAAATAACGGAACTATCTTTAGAGCTCTCAATAGTGGCGAGATCAGCTTGAAGTTGGCTGCGCTGCTGCAACAAGCGTGTGTAAGAAGTGAAAATGTGAAAAGTAATAAAGTGAAACTAAATTTTAATCGAATTAAAAGGTAAGCACACATATTTATTTTGCATATTATTGTAGGGTAACTCACCGTCGCTTATAGACGCACATCAATGGCGTTCGAAACTGTTTTCTGTTGCAATTTGTTGTTAGACAAACTAAGCGTACAATGCAGATTTACAGTTTTAATAAATCTGTTTGTCACTTTTGTTTGCTGCTTCAATGGCCATCAACAGCAGCAACACGACACGCTTCCTCCTCAGCTCACAGGCTTGCCACGTTTTGGGGCACATTGTCGCGGTCCCAGCGCATGGCGATGAATTTTTAAATGAAAATTGTTGCTATTGAAAGTTTTTAATTTCTGTGTGCGTGAGTTTTATTTTTTATTCCGTGTTGTTGTTGTTGTTGCTGTTGTTGGAAGCTGTGCTTCTGCCACACCCCCTTGCCCTAGCGCATTTTGCGTGATTTTCGCTGGCTGGAAACGGCACCTTTGGGAAATTAATATCCTTTTTGGCTGGCTGGCACGAGGCACGCACACACACACACACACACACACACACACACACACACACACACATACACATACAGACGCACACATCACCTAACCCCCGCCCCGAACAGGCAGACCCACAAAGCTAAAGCCAAAAGTTGGCCACCGCCTCCACGGTCGAGTCCCGTCCAGTTCTGGCTGTGTCCAAGCCAACTAGCAGCGGGGCCAGCAATTGGAGTCACGCGGCAGCAACGCGTGAGCGAAGCTTCAACTTTTTTGTGGCCACGTTGCACGTACGCCCATGCCACGCCCCAAATGGCAACGATGACCCCGGGCTGGCTTTTGTTTTAAGTTGCCAGTTGCCTGTCGTTGACAACTTTTGTTGCGCCGCCCGCCCACCACATCCATAATTGCTGCTGCCGGCTATATCCTTGTTATCCCTGCAACAGATTGTATGCTGCTTTTTGCGTAACTGTGCGCCGTGTCCTTTATTACTTTTGCGCAATTACTCATTACGTTATTGCATTTCATACTTTTGATATACACGCATAGTTGACTAAGCAACCAGGAGAGTCAAGGATGCGACCGAGCAGGGGGAGTGGGCGGCAAGGCATGAGGGGGCGGTTGAGTAGCTGGAGCTGGTTGCCAGGCACTGTGCTCTGAAATAATTAGAAATATTTTTGCGCAATTCCATTGGAGAGTTGTCCAATTTGTGTGCAACATTAAAAGCAACAGCACAGCAGAGCACTGCTCCATCCCCCACCATTAGCTCTACCCCCGCAATGCCTTGCGTTTTTCGTCGCACTCTTTTTGGGTCTTTGGCTGCACTTTTGCTGCCCGCTTCTTTTGCCCGCGGCCTTGTCGCCAGCAAAGTTTTCATTTGCATGTTTCTAGTTAATTGAATTATGCACAACTTTCCGCTTGGCGCTCTGGGCGTGCGTCTCACCCGGCACATTTATATGTAAGCGCTTTGAGGCTGCAGCGCGCCAACTGGCGCTGATATTAAGCATACGCCCCGCATGCCGCACTTATGTTCCATAGAGCTCATTAGCTGCCCCATCCAGCTGCCGCTCGCTCGCTCACTCGCTCCACGCTGACTGCTGCGGCCACTCTTTGACTTTTCCATTTGGGTAGCTGGCTGCTTACCCTTCTGCTCCAATTTCCTTTTATGTATATGCCATAAAAGTCCGAGTGGAGGCAGGAGCCGCTTCAAGTTTATTACATTCCTAAGCTGTGTTGCCAGCTACGAAGTCGTGTCATCGGCTGGCAATAAAAAATGCTGCTGCTTCGTCCATTGTTGGGAGCAGGTTCCACACATGCAGCAACAGCAGCAGGAGCAGGAACGGCAGGAGGAAGGGGCAGCTGGTGGCCGTGCGTAGTCAGCCGAATTTAAATTTGACTTTTATTAAGCGCAAAATCAAAGTAGAGAAATTTATCTGACTCTCGACTGCTTGTGCTGCTGCTGCTGCTGCTCCTGCTGCTGGCTTTGCCAATGAGCATGCCAAGAATATTTCAATGCTGCCATAGACTCCTATATGTACCAGAGTATAAAAGCAATTTTATTGCTCAAGTTTTGCTGCTCGATAGGATAAGCCCCTCATCTATGCCCCGTTGCCGGGCAACATGTTGCCGTTGCCGTTGCCGTTTGCCGATTCGTATCACAACTCCCAAGTCCAATCTTTGTGGGCGTCTGCCACTTGCCACCGGCTTTGGGCGGGACGAGCTAACTATTAAAGTGCTGTTAACTTTATTATTTTGAGCACTTGTTGTATAATGTGGCAGCGCTGTCATGGCAACTTACTGCCATAGTTTTGTGAGAAAAAAAAAAAAATAAACACATACACAGAGCTCTGTGTTTGGGGTTTGGGGGCAAGAAATAGCAAAGTCATAATTTGTCAAAAGTGGCTGGCGGAAAGCGAATAAATATGCTTGGCAAATATTTGCTGCAAAATAGCTTTTCTATGCAAAAAGTTGCTGTTGCCTTTCCATTTGCTGCTGCTGCTGCTGCTCCGTGCCTTTAGTACCATGCTGCCATGTGGGTGGATACTTGTTTTATATAATGAAAAAAAAAAAGCGAAATAATACATTTAACTTTGCCTGTCTTGCGCTGCCCCCTCCCTTTCCCTGTGCCCGCAATTGTTGCAAAACTAAGTACATGGGAAAAATTGTAAACATTATTTTTGCTTCACTTCTTAAAAGCCAAACTAAAACTTTGTTCCTCAAGAGCCCCAAGAGCTGCCGCCTCCGGGGCCATGGCACAACAACTACCCAAGAAAACAGAAGTCTTCACTCTGTAATAGATTTTACTTACCATCTTCTATACTAATTAGCATCTGTTTCACACTTACTTGATTATTCACCTGTTTTAATATTCAGCATAATAATGAAAACATAAATTATTATCTATCTGACTTTTTGCAGCTCATAAACAAGTTTTCCGCACATAAGACGCAGCCCGAAGATATTGATTGGATATTTATTAATTTTATCAATGCACGCGAAAAATCTTGAGTGAGTTTTTCATTTCATTTAATTTAATTTTTTTTTTCATTTTCTTTACTTTTATTTTATTTGTATTTATTTTCTTGCAATCTCTTAATGCGCTTGAGTTATTAATAGTCCTGCAGTTCTTGCTAAATGGGTTTTTTTAGAAAATCAGTCAACTGCAAAATAAGGATCCGGATACGCATCCAAGTCAAGTGTGGATGAAGTAAAGTTTTGTCTTAGCCATTGGCCAAGGAAGCGTAAAATGTAATTAAAAATATTGAGATGACATTTACTCAATAAAAAAATAGCAAGCAAGTGCAATTGTGCTTGGGGTGTCATAATGATTTCGTCTTGCGAGACTTGGTTCAGATTTCCAACGTGTTGAGGTGCTTAGCTCGTATATTAAAAGCATAGTGAGGTTTCTAATTGCAGAGACATGCTGAGAAAAGTTACTTTGTTCATTTAAGAATTCAATTTTCGATTGACTTGCTCCATGAAATAAATATGACAGTTAGTAGCCGAGTAAGAGATTTTGCTCTTCATTTAAGAACGTAAGACTTCAAGACAGTTAATGCCTCAAAAAAAAACTTTGCTCTTCATTTAAAAGCTAAATGTCTGATTGATTATAGCTGCAACAGGTGCATGTGTTCCGATCCAAGGGACTTTGGGACAGTAAGTCGCCCAAGAAATCGCTGGTCTTAATTTTTAACTAGCCTGGTATACTATGCCTTACTCTATAAACAGGACCAACTTCTCATACTACTCGACATTCCAATATTCCGTGCACAACTAGCAAAACGAATTTTATTATTTTTTTTATTAAATTTATTATCCACACAACTTATTAAATTCCAACATTTTATTTCTTGGTATTTCAATTTAAATAGAAATTCAGGAATTCATTTGTTCAACCTAAAAATTAAATAATATAAATATCAAAAGGCAAAAAGTTGTTGCCTAGGCAATGAATTTTTTATTGTGAATTCGTAATTTGTGCTGCTTCTTTGACGAACTCTGTTTAAAAATGCAGAAAAACTTTGAACGCATTCAATTAAATTTCTGACTTGTGTTTGCTTTGCGCCTTAAAGATACTTCTAGTTCAGTTTCACAATAATTGTTAATTAGCAATACACAATAAGCGTAATGAAAAGAATTTAATTGGATTTCGCTCTAAACATAAAGTATAGCTAATTGGCTTTTCTTCTTATTCTATTTGATTATCATTATTTTTTCTTTGGTTGTGGGTTGGATTCTCATTTCGAGCCGCGATGCCCAGTCGCAACCCTTGAGTATTTGAAATCAACAAGAATTGCGTTTGGACAATCATAGCTAAAAATCGAATTAACCAAATATTTATACACTTAGCGCGACAAAAAAAAGAAAAAAAATTGCTTTCAGCCGTTGGGAAACTTGGCCAGCTGCTCGGTATTGTGTTGGCCCTGATATCACATGGCACCCAAAAATATAAAAGAATAGAAAAATAAAAACCACTTTTCGTGAACTTTACGCTGGAACTTAATACAGCATTGAGCAGGGGCCCCGCTTGCTTAAAGTCTTTCACTCCATTATGCTCCAGATCGCATAAAAAAAAGGAGACCAAACACAACTTACCAGCGAATAGGGTCCTTGGACGCGGGGTCGGGGCCTTGGCTGTCAGCTTGGCTGGCCATAAAGTGTCGGAAGAATCACAAAATCATTGTAAATGTTGAACGAATCTCGCATTACACGCAAGGGGCTGGCGCGTGTTGCTGGCCAAGACAACTTTTCTGGCTGCGGGGGGTGTGGTGCGGGCGGTGTGGGTTGGTGCGGGTGGGTTGTTGGTTACTTGGGTCTCGCTTGGCGCTGCACTACTTGATTAAATTTTTGCACTGCAAGTGCAAAATGAACTTGCCAGCGCATATGTCCTTGCCACGAGAGTCGTCAGTGCGTTAGAATGCTGAACACAGGACTGCCGGCACTTGTATCCTGCCCTGTCCGGGAGCGTGGCCGGAGCGCGAGCTGCCGCTGCCGCTGGCATTGGCGTGTCTGCGGTTTTATTTCGCTTGGGTTGTTGTCTGTCTTGTGGCCTGTGTCTTGTGTCTTTTATTGTGGCTGCAAGCGTTGCTGCCCATTGTTGCTAACTGTAAAAACTGCATTCCTGCCAAGCGCTAGCTGCATTCAACTTGGACTTGATGATACTCCTGCGGGTGTCCGTGTGTCTCTGTCTCTGTCTGTGTGTGTGTGCGTGTGCGTGTGTCCATGGCCCGTGTCGTTGTCCGTTGCGTGTCAGGCTACTGTTATTACAATATCCTTAGCTGGCGCTCCTTGTATCCAGCTGACACCCCTTAACGGCGTGCTGGCAAGGGTTGCCTTTGATAAGAACATCAAAACTTGGTTTCGAGCTTTCGTCCTGTCGTATCCTGTCCTGTCCCGTTTGCGCGTTTGCTATTAAATTTTAAATTAAATTGTCCTGCCATTCTTATGTGCACTTTGTGGATCTGTTTTGAGCTGCTTTTATGGACGTTGTTAATTGGAATTGATTGAAAGTTATTTGATGTTTGCCGTTTCGGCCCAATTCTAGCAACGTGAAAGCCAAAATCCAGCAACAACTGCCACAAAGGGCATAGGCTCTACGTGCCTATCACTCCCTCTGAGCGTGCGGGTGTGTGTGTGTGTGTGTGTGTGTGGGCGTGTTCGTGTGGGCTGTTGTTCATAGACTTGCAGAAGTAATTAACATAATTTAATTAGGTGCTCGGCATTAATTTTACGCACGGAATTAAGTGTTGAATTTTAAGTGTTTCCATTTTAATTGAGCGACATTTTTCAGTCACGGAGCGGCCAATAAAACGCCTGTACACACTAATAACAATAACACAAGTGGGGCGGGCCGGGTCGACAGTCGGTAGGGTCTGGGAATTGTGAGCTCAGTGCTGACTAATTAAATAAAACAATAGGTAATCCACGCCGCCAGTTGTGCAGGATGTGAGTGGAACGTGAGCAGAAGTTTGTTTTTAAAATGGAAAAGAAAAAGGAAAATGTTTGCTTTTAAGTATTATAAATAGCAGAGGAATAGAAATCACATGTGACATGGTATTAATTAAGGTTCCAGCTGGCGTGTTTCGCATTTTTCGAGTGCGAAACACGATTCACAAGCACGCACGTTTAAACATTAATGTAACACGACAATTTGATACATTTAAGGCACATTCAATTTATATTATTGGCAAATATTATTATTTAATTTTACTTACCGGAATATAATATATGGTTATGCGCTTTCTTATTCTGTATAATTTCACTACAATTAAAACAGAATTTTTCAATATTGATAAAGTACAACAATAGCATTAAAATGTTATTTAACAGAAATTACAAATATTGATTGTGTTAGCATAATTAAAATTGCATATATTGCTACGTATGGCATGAAAGTAGCGCTCTGTTATTCTTAAACAAGTTTTATTTAGTGCATAAAAAATAATTAAATTCTTTATCAAAGCCAAACAGAGCGACACACATACCATTTGCATTTGCATCAAGTCAATAAACCTTGTTTACCCTTTTTTTGGTTGAATATCATAAAAAAAAAATGTAACTTACGCTGTTATTTTTATGGCCAATGAAACAAACTTCCCAGCACAGCACACTCTATCCACACTCCACTCCAGCGCCCATCATAAACTCCACTCCAGTGCCCCAATTGCCCCGCCTTTAAGTTGTGGCCACCAACAACATTGAAAGGCGGCTGCTGCTCGTAAAAGGCTCGGGCCTAATAAAAATACCGCAGCACGTACGTCAACCTGCAGGCATTAGCCTAACAGCTACGCACACACACACGCACCCATCCACACACACACTCACGCAGTTATGTTGTGTCTAGGCGTCCTCATCTCCTGCTGCCAACGAGAACAAAGGATATGGTCTGAGCTCAGCTGTTGTTATTAATTTGCAAAGCGCAAACTTGTTTCTCATTTACTCGCCATATCCGGCGATATCGGGTAATCAGACATAGTCGCAGCCCCACCCGCCCAAGGCCCCGCCCCCAGCTCATAGCTGTGGCTTTTTATTTAGCTATTTGCAAGCAATTTGATTTTGTTTTTTTTTTGGTTTGTATACCCTTGCGGTGGGTATTATAAGGTTTGCTTAGAAATGTGTTAGCCATAAGAGGAGGCATCTGCGAACCCATAAGATCTATATAATCCATAATATTATATACTTATGCTTATGCTTTATGCTTGCTCAGCATCAATAGAGGACTGTCTGTCAATGCAAGAAGTTGGCATGAAATGTGGAGATATCTCCGACCCCATAGAGTATGCATATTCTGGACTATTGGTCCGTAACAGTCGAGTCTCTATTCATATGTCTGTCTGTTTTAGGCAGGAGCTTGTGTGTTTATGCGGTTCGTCTTAATCAGATATATCATTTAGCTGCCATAAGAACGACTGGAGGATAATTAAGTTCTTCTATAAAATTAATCAAGGTTTCTTAACTAAACTTCACATTCATGGGCTTTACGATAAATCCTTGCATATCTTGTCTAAACAGGTGTTTTGAAATATATGAGTATGAAATGTTTGTCTGTTGTTCACTGCAGTTTACTTTTCTTCCAAAATATCTGTAAAGTCATATCAAATCGGTGCACTATGTCATATAACCCCCATATGACCAGTCGCTTTAAAAAAAAGAATTCGTTCAAAACCATTTACAAGGGTATTCAATCTTCGACTGCCAAAGTTATGTTCTCTTTCTGGTGCCTTTTGTGTTTGCCAAATGTGTGAAGCGTGTGCAGAATAGAACCCCGCTTCGAATTCAGCTGGGAACATATCGAATTGCAGTTGTTGGTCCATTAGGCGAACCACTTGACTCCGGCAGCTTTTAGCACCGGAAATATAGATAGAGATGGAGTTGATGGTTGAGCCATAAACCGAAAACAAATGCCAAATATTGTGTATTGCCATGCCGCACGCTCCCTCAAAAAGATGGCCAAAGTGTCGACTTGACTGTGTAAATTGAGCTGCTAATGGGAGAGCCAGCATAAATAC